TAAGGTCAACTTACAACATTAACAATGTAATGTAACAACGTACGTTTCATTTTACCTGTCCATCATCCCTCCCACCTGCCCTCACTGACTTTCCCTCTTGTTATACTCGTTATTACATCACTTAACTTTCATACCACGTCATACGTCACTTGCTCTGAACATTCAACATATCCGTGGTTTTCAGAGACGTACAATGCCAACATGTGGACGGACACTCACGGTGACCACCACCCCACAGAGGATCATGTCTGCAGTTCCCCTCAGCTTTACAGAGCTGATCTTGTTGTGGCTTTCCAGGCTGCACCTTTACTGTTGTGGTTCAGTCTCACCGCTCTCAATCAACCTTTTCTTCAGCTGCATTGAACAAGAGACAGATATGAGGCATTATATGTGGTAATATACAGATATCTAATGTTCCGTATGGTTCCTGTAATACTTCATAGTTATATAACACATTTCATTTGGGTAGAATCCTCAGTCATGGTACATTTAGTGGCAGAAGGCACAAAAGTGGAACAGATTCATCGTAATCAAACATCCTGGATGTCCTCAGGGTGGAGTACTCGTGTTCCTGCCGGCCATAAAAATGTGTTTTAAAGGCCAGACGTCCAGGCCCCGAGTGACATCATAGTTGAGTCACCAGTGGTCATCAGCCTGTCGTGGTCATCTTGTCCTGCAGAGACATTTAGATGTTCCCCCCCTGCCCCCTTTTATGCCGCCTGTCTCTGTCAGGGGGACTCTGGCGGTCCCTTGGTGTGCCAGGAGCCGTCGGGTCGCTGGTTCCTCGCCGGCGTGGTGAGCTGGGGCAAAGGCTGCGGGCGTCCAGACTACTACGGCGTCTACACTCGCGTCACCCGGCTCACCGACTGGATCAAACAGGTCATCGGCAGCCCCTGAGACGGTGGTTCATCATCTCTATCAATGTCCTCAAAGTCCTGGAGTAGGAAACCACGTGAGGCTGAAAAGTGCTGGAGGAGGATTCTGAGATCTCAGCCGAACAGCGAGGTGGTAAAGCGTGAAAGGCTTTATTCCAAAAACATAAAGTAGTAGAGCTAACAATAGAATCAACCTTATTTATGCAGCATCTTCCAGAACTGATATTATGAAGTGTTTATCCAGCATGCAGTAAAAGAATATCATAAAATAAGTTTAGAAAGAATAGGACTCAAATTAAATATTTTTTCAGAAGTGATGAAGAAACCCTCATAATGAAATGTAACGGTTGTTTGACTCGACTGTAAACCATCATGAATACTCTCTTACAGACTGAATCTCTATTTTAAAGACATCGAACGATATTAAAGCATATTTCTGTTTTGTCAACAAGTTTGCAATAAAATGTTTGTTTACATGTTTGGGTGGAAGTGAAAAAAAAGAGATGATACGTACACTTCTTACAGTCTGAGAGAGAGACAGGTGAAGGGAAGCTAACGTTACAAACGCTTCAGTAGAGCATCGTATCATGCTATTGTATATTACATTATTGTATATTACACTATTTGTTGGCTTTTAGCATTTGAAAAACAACATTTTCACAGCACTGACGAGTTATATCCAATATAGATAAACACTAACTTGTTTCATCGGATGAATCACTTCAGTCACGTTGAAGTTATAAAATATGACGACAGTTTCAATTGAAAACTTCAAAAGAAGCTTTGAATGGTTAAAAAACATTTGGTACGATTCATCGTGTGAGAGACATGAATGTGGACTCAGTCTGGACTCTAGTGGATCGGCATCCCTCCCTGTGGCTGGAGGCTCAGTCATGAAGAAGACCGGACCAGAGAGCGTCTGTTATCCGTCTGTCCGTCCGTCGTCCGTCTCCTCTGTGTCTCATTACCTTTTGCACTCTGGAAATGAACCCTGATCCTCGGGGGATATTTCAGTATTTGGACTTTCCCGTTTTCAGTGTAATTGGTATTTTATCGGCCTGTAATATATGACGACAATTCTGCTCAATGAGGCATAACAACAGTGGACCCATCCATCATTTACAGCAATGCTCGATGCTAATAAATGACCTTCACCAGTTTCTATGGAGCGTGATTTTAAACGGGAACTTTCTCAACTTTGTTTTTGTCTCGGTGAATAACAGGGTTTTTTAAAAACTGGTCCGGTATTGAAGAGCTGTAATGTCATCGCTCCTCACTCACTAAAGGTTGCGTGTTTCTGCCACTGACAGGCTCACATTGTTATTATACGTGTGTGACAACATAACGAAACACGACCGTTCTCTTCCTCCAGACTGTTTGTTAATGTAACCAAGTCTCGCTCAACGTGAAGCCTCGTTCTGAAATCTCGCGTCACATCCTGTTCTCATCCGCCATTCGTCATGAAGCAGAACATTAAAGCTCACAAACAGAGAAATAAAACCGCTTTTCTTTGTATTTCTGTCGGCTTCTTTCCATAATGTCGGCAGACACTTAAAATTACTGAAACAATACATTGACTGTGAGGATTAAATTGCATCCATTAAGCGTCTGCAATGTTGTTCCTTTAATACTGAACCAACTAAAACACTGCTGTCCATTAGTCACTGAGACACAATGATATTGTTTTATTAGAAAAATACCAAAGTTACTCTTTAAAAGACGTTTTCACTCGTTTCTTCTTCTGGATTTAAATGATTCTTAAACATTCAACGGATTTGTTAAATGCTGTTTGTATAATCTAGAATGTTGATTAAATCACAGATTTCTGGCTCTTCCCTGTGGCAGCCGTTAGGGGGCGCCATTGAACGCAAATAGCAAGTGAGCATTAATGGATGATTGAGATGAAGATAAGTCAGCAGCTCTGAGTTACAGCTGATACCGTATCCACCAGGATGGTGTTCAACAATAAAAGAAACCCGAATGCCAAAAGGACTGTTGATGTTGAGTCTGCACATGTGATCCAGGCCGCTGATTTAAACAAAGTCAGTTGGTGTTGGTGCCTCTTTCAGAGTCGACTAAACTGGGCTTCTGAGCTAAAGATGAAGCATGGAGACTCTCTCACACACCAGAGGTCTTAAAATGAAGATTCTGCTTTTCTTTAAATGTGTCAGTATCACGTACGCGACATCGTAAACGTTATTTCCTCCGGAGGTGAAGGGAAGCGCTGCACTGTCTGGGCTCGTTTGCCTGAATATTGAGCTGTGTTTCCCGCTCACAGTGCAGAGACTGAAGATGTATGTGTGATCGAGTTAAGAAGGAGGCCTGCAGCTCCTTTCCCTCTCAGTTAATCAACCATCTGGTCAAACAATTCAGCAAACAATCGATCTGCATATTTATCAGGAAATGAATGAGTTCAGTCTGAAGAAGAGGAGCGGTGACCGGAGGAGAGAGAGCCAGAGGGGAAAGGCCGGCAGACTTGGCGTGGGATGTTGATTCAATTATGGACGTCGGCCATCTTGCTGCTCTTATGTTTGGCTTTGCCAATGGAAACAGTTGAGAGGACAGATGGAGCTGATTAACTTTGTCTTTACCGAAATCTGAGTCGCCACTGACCACAATATTAACATCAGGTATGAACAAACATGCAATATTAAACCAACATCATCCATGTGAAAACTGTAAGATGTATTTTTAACAATCTCAAGCCCCTCCAGACACGTCTTACCTTAAATAAAAATGTGTTAAACAATCTAAAACAAAGAGCAGAACTCAATGAATTTTCACTTTGTATTTCACTACACTTCATCGTGTTGTTAAAGGTTTTCTTTAAGACATTCAGAGAATGAAGTCTCTCTCTCTCTCTCTCTCTCTCTCTCTCTCTCTCTCTCTCTGTGATATCAGAGCTTCTCTTTGCTTTGTTGACATAGCTAAGCCATGGCCTTTAGTGCATGTTAGTGCATGTTAGTGCATGTTAGTGCATGTTAGTGCCCCATTGGTTAGCTCACAGCCGCCGCTCTGCTCTGCTCTCATGCGGCGGTTACAGCTGATAACGCCTTCCAGACCGCCAGCGTCGTCCTGGTGATGTAGCGGTTGTTTTGCACTGTTAGCGCTGTTAGCTTAGCCACCAACTCTGCCGGCGCCACGTTGAGAGCCGCGTGGAAGCAAAAGATCATTTTGAATTGCGCACCTTAAACACAGTTGGATAATGTTACCTCTTCATTCCCAATGACAGACTGTTAGATGATGTTTTACATGTAGCAGGGAAATGAGCGGTGAGGTTTTAATTCACGTTAAGTATGAAATAGATTATTGTTGTGGTCGAAAATGTCACAATAATTCTCACCATGTCTGATAGTTCCTCAGATGATGAGTCTTGATGTGGTTGGCTGGGACATCTAGTGACAGCAGGGACCACAAATGAACATCACTAAACCACAAACAAACTATTTCAACCCAGGTGGGACTTGAACCCACAATCCCCAACTTCGGAGGCTGGTGCCTTGTCCATTAGGCCACTGGGCCACTGTAAAACATTCACCATTAGGAGACTCGTTATGAATTATGTTGCTATTTGATCTGAATCTGAGATTAATTTTCCTGTCATGAAGAGAGGAAGCAGCTGAATAAACCACCAAGAAGAAGCTCAAGGTGCTCTCTAAAAGGAGCCAATAGCAGCCGGCCTAAAGGGTCAGTATTCTGCTCACCTGTAGAGCTTATTACACATTACGCTGTTACGCTGTTATGTTGTCACGTGTCTCATTACGTCAATGCGTTACGTTGTTACTGTATTACACTCTTCTGAGCTTTCCTAAAGCATGTCTCACTATGTTCAGAATGAATCGTGGCAGAATGGACGATGACTGGATATTAACTTCTCATACTTATCCTCCAAAGAGGTGATCATGGCTTGAGATTCAAGTACTCAGGCCAAGTATGAAAACGGCCTGAGAAGGTATTAAAGTATTCTGAAACTCCAAACACAATGTCTGACCTCAAAACATCGAGGTTCTCCTCACTGAATAAAACATTTTACAGAACCGCCACGGCTCACTGCTAACAGCCAGAGAGTGCACACACACACACACACACACACACACACACATTGAAGTGCTTCAGGGGGAGCTGACATTTTAATAATCCGTTTTAATAAATGAACATTCACAGAAATTATGAGTGAAATGTCCAGTTCGTGAACATCGTGCTGACCTTCACTTGATCAGTGTGTGTGTAGCTTTGATATCTAGCAAACTTGTTCATAAGCCATCACACTCGTCTTCATAACCACACAATAGGTTCGTCTCTTTGTAGTAATACTGTAGGTATAGATAAGGCTTGTGCTTGTGTGTGTGGTCATAACTTTGTCCACAGCAACATGGAATCCAGTTGATCTCCATCCAGTAGTTCACTCGCTGTCCTCGGGGCCGCTGGATCGAGGCACAAGCTCCATGCTCCTCTGAATTAGTGCGGAATCTCTTTTTATATTTTTTTAATCAATTTCAACATTGATTTTTATTTTGTAAGAACAGAAAAATAGAAGCAGGGACGACAAGTTCTCACTTCCAACTCAACAAATTCAGACGCTTAGTCAGTGGCTCGAACCGTCAAACTGTTTCCTCTCCGTCCTCAGTTTAGGATATTCAGGGAAGCTCGTTACATACGTAGTGTCTTTTCAAAATAAACTTGTGTTTTCACAGGAAATGTGCAGTGTCTGCCCGTTACATGAAGCTGAAGGTTATGGGAGACATCTTTGTTGTTCTCACTGGAATCTGATCCACTTACAATATAATAATGTGAACGGCTAAACAAAACAAACTAAATATCAGAGCAATGAATCAGAACTGTGCAGTGAGGCTTTCAGTGTGAGTAAAACGTTTAACAGCTGCAACATTCATGTCATATATTGTATTTGACTGGATTCAATATTGTTTTAATCACACTTTGACACACAGCTGTGGCATCGTATTTCTATTTTTTTTAAAAGAGACAATTTTAGCTTCGTTTCTCTCCACTTTCTCCATCGCTCCCTTGGGCTCCTTCTCCCTCTCATTCCTCACAGTGATGGGTTAAACAGCTGAAGGCCATGTTTTCATTGTGGTCTGCATTTATCTTGGGAGCGGTGGTTAGACTGGGAGAGAGGGAGGACGTGGGAGGAGGGTGTTGAGAGTGAGCAGAGGTCCTGCAGGAAACACTGAGAGAGAGGGAGGCCCAAAAGAATGACGAAAGGCAGACGGAAGAATCCGGAGAGAGGAGTAAGAAGCACGCATTCATACGGGTCACGTTCAGTGTATACACAAGGACAGAGGCCTCCTGCACATTTCATTCAAGCCTCCGAGAGAAGGTCTTATAGAAGGTTTCTCTCATCGATCGTTGGTTTTACAACGATTGTTTTGTTCAGAAACTGCAGTTCCCATGAGGCTTTGGGGGAGTGTCAGTGGCTTTGTATTTGGGGGTTTGTAGTTGTGCATCAAGGGGTCAC